AATGATGGGCACAGTATAAATAAGAGTGTCCGATTAGCCAGACCCGCCAGATGGACTTTGCGGAGAAAACAAAGCAATCAGCCTGGATGGGCGTATGTAGGACCTGAACCGCCTAGATTCCCATTCTACAAATAGCCTGCTCTGAAAAGCCCAAGCGAGACGCCTCAGTCGCCGCCCCAATGCAGAAAGAAATATCTCCAAATTCCTTCCCTGGAATGCCCAGCACCTCCAAAGCCAAACGAAAGACCCGGATGAATTGGAACCTGGATAAGAAACCCCCATCCGACTGAATCAGTAATGGGCCTGGAGTCCGCAGGTGTACGGCACAGTAGCGCTGGTAACCCACAGCCGGAGATGCTATGGACCCAGGAAGTCTGTGAAGTGAAACCCAAGTTCCTGGCCAAAAACATCAGTCTTGGACTGTCGTAACAAAAAACGTACCAGCCCTTCAGCGCAGGAGACATCCTGAAACCAAGTACCCCCCAGAACTCACTTATTAGGACAAACCAGTTCCCCCACCTGCAAGGCACCGGAAAATGCAAAGGTAAATGCCACATGAAATAGTAACGCCTCTAAGTCAGAAAAGCACACCTGCGGCAGAACCGACAAAATCCCCAACAGCAGAGCCCCTGATATCGGCCGACGAGAATCAGCCATCCTAGGCCCCTTTCTCCAACCATGCATAGCCAAGATGACAATATAGTCCTTCGTGACATCTGGCACTCTGGTTAACTTGAACCAGAAGCTCAAGCCAGACAATTTCGCTGAGACCGCCGATAGCAAACACCCCGAAGCTTCCCAAAACCATAAGAGGCACAGAAGGCCCTGAACTCAATTGTCTTCCGAGTGAAAACCTCTGAGCGCTTGTTCAAAGGTCAACCACTCCCCCCATGCATTATCATGGTGGGTCCAGGTAGCATCCGAGATCGAAGACCGGATCCAAGCCCTCACTTGTTCAGACCAAGGTACCACAGTTCCGTCGAGCACGGGCAACATTCAGCTTCTCCCCCAGTCGTGGCTGCCCTGAACTCCTGCCACTGTGAACGGGAAAGGGCATCCGCTGTGACATTTTTAACACCCGGCAGGTGCGCTGCCCTACAAGTGATATTCAAGGTCAAGCAGCGCAGTACTAAACACCTCAAAAGACGCACCACAGGTGAGGCCGACAAGCTGTTAATGGCCAACACTACCCCCAGGTTGTCACAATTGAATACTACCCTCCGATCCTGAAGAAAAGACTCCCACAGATACACTGCCACCACGATTGGGAAAAGCTCCAGGAACGCCAAATTCCTTGTTAGGCCAGCAATGTGCCAAGAACCGAGCCAGAAGTCTGCACACCAATGCGTTCCCAAGATAGCCCCAAAGCCCACCAAACCCGCCGCATCGGTGAACAGATGAAGCTCCGAATTAGGCACCTCCGGCGCTTGCCAGTAGGATCTGCCATTCTGCCAATTCTCGAGAAATGCGCTCCACACAGCCAAGTCATCCCTGACAGGCCTGGTCATATGCACAAAGTGATATGGTTAGAGCACACCCGACGTTGCAGCCGCAGGACGCCTATTGAAAACCTGGCCATCGGCATGATCCGACAGGCAAAATTTAATTTGCCCAGCAGCGACTGCAGCCACTGCAGTGTGATCTTCCGCACCTCACTGTGATGACATTGTATGCCGGCTCACTGCAGGACAAAGACAGTCAGACACAGTCAAATCCACACAGTTATACACATATACTGTCAAATACAGCCAGATGCACACAGTCCCAGACACAGTCACTCACACAACGTCAAACACACAGTTACAGGCAGTCACACACAAGCAGTTGCAGGCAGACAGTCACACACACACAACTACAGGCAGATAGTCACACACATACACACAGTTACAGGCAGTCACACACACAATTACAGGCAGACTGTAACACAGTTACAGGCAGCATCACACAGTCACAGGCAGACAGTCACACACACTCAGTGATATGCAGACATTCACACAGTTACAGGGACACAGTCACACACAGTCACAAGTAGACAGTCACACACATGCAGTCACACACAGTTCCAGGTAGGCAGTCACAGGCAGACATTCACTCACACACGCAGGCAGACAGTCACAGGCAGACAGTCACAGGCAGACAGTCACATACACACTGTCACAGGCAGACAGTCACACACACAGTTGCAGACAGTCACATACACAATCACAGGCAGACAGTCACAGGCAGACAGACACAATCACAGTTACACACACATAGCCACTCTAACTTACTCACAGTATGGGCTGGAGGAGGAGTTGTTTCACTGCAATCATCCCTGGTTTGTAGTACTTGGGGAAGCAGGGACGCCTTTCTACTTCTCCTCAGTGTGCAGCAGAAAGAGGCTGCTATTAGCTCTGCCCTGCATCTGATTCAGCTCCGCCCTGTGATCGATCTGGCTCCGCCCCAGCTCTCAGTGCAGTTCTCATGTTGTATTCCCAGCCCCTGTGTGTGTGAGCTGTGTCGGCTGCCCGGCGCCATTACTGCTATAACGCTCTGTGCAACCACACAGCTCACATAACCCCGGGCCTTGCCAGCCCTGGTGCCCCCCCACCTACCTTGTGCCACCCAGGGCGGACCGCCCCTCCACCTCCCCCCTTACTATGCCACTGGTGGAGCAAGTGGGGCCTTGCAAAATAAAACAAGTTTTGTTATATATAACCACTTTACAAGAGCATTTGCTTTTTGTAGACCAAAAACTATAAATTGATATTTTGGTCTGATTATTCCGTCATGATTCCCTTTTATTCCAGAAGTTGTGTCCTTAAGGGGTTAATGATCTACTCAGAAAACTATTGATAGTCTATACAATTATATTTTTACTTGTATTAGGCGCCCTTAACTTTGGTTTCTGTTTCTGTAGTTTATTAAAGTGATTCCATACTTCCAGGAAAACAAACCTGTTTTCCTGGCAAAATAATATAGCTCCAGATGTAGAAAAAACTCTGTTGCTAGAATTGGGTTGAGGAGGTAATATGGGCTTAACCCAGAATAAACAATTTAGTGAACAAGAACCAAATGAGGGCAGGAACCCAACTGAAAGGAAAGGGATCTAGCCTCACTGAAATTACCTCCAGTTTAAAATCATTCTAAGGTAATAGCAAAAAAAAGATTTCAACTTTATTAATAATAAGAACCAAAAAATATACACAAAACAACAGACAATGTGTAGCCCAATGCGAAGTGAATTAAATAGTCTAATCTTAGACTAATTAATTAGTTTAAAAAGAATAGAGAATCCAAGGTTATATAAGAGTACCTGAATTTAAACTTGAGATGCCATTTAAGTTTTTAAACATGCAGCAAATAATAAAACATGAAAGGAGGATTGAAGTGTGCCTTTAAGGTTATTGAGTTCTTGCAACAATGTTTTACCATATAAGACTTTTATTGATGTAGTTAAAAGATTATAGAACACATTTTCCTAATAAGTAGTGTCTATTTCCACACATACAGATGAGATAACTGTGTAATAATACAGAAAACACAAACAAACAAAAAACATGTGAACGGAAAAAGTGAATATAAAATAAACGTTCCTAGAAAGGAGGACTCTCTTAAAGGACCACTCTAGGCACCCAGACCACTTCAGCTTAATGAAGTGGTCTGGGTGCCAGGTCCAGCTAGGGTTAACCCATTTTTTTATAAACATAGCAGTTTCAGAGAAACTGCTATGTTTATTAATGGGTTAAGCCTTCCCCCTAATCCTCTAGTGGCTGTCTCATTGACAGCCACTAGAGGCGCTTGCGTGCTTCTCACTGTGATTTTCACAGTGAGAGCACGCAAGCGTCCATAGGAAAGCATTGTAAATGCTTTCCTATGCGACGGGCTGAATGCGCGCGCAGCTCTTGCCGCGCGTGCGCATTCAGCCCAGGAGGAGGAACGGAGGAGGATCGGAGGCAGAGAGCTCCCCGCCCAGCGCTGGAAAAAGGTAAGTTTTTAACCCTTTCCCCCTTCCAGAGCCGGGCGGGAGGGGGTCCCTGAGGGTGGGGGCACCCTCAGGGCACTATAGTGCCAGGAAAACGAGTATGTTTTCCTGGCACTATAGTGGTCCTTTAAGTACTACAGTACATTTGAGATACAAGTAGTAAAAATATAGAAAGGAATTGAATGAACTGGTGAGAGTAAAATAATGCGTAGAGTCAAAAAAGGGCTACATTTTACATGGTAGATATACAAGGGTTATATATTATATAAAAGTCCAAAAATGGCAAGAATGAGGATTAAGGGAAAATTGGTTGTTATCAAGAGTGTTGTGCAAAGTACACAAAGTATATTCAGCCACAATTACGGCTACTTTCTTGACCCCCTCCACTGTTTTAAATTGTCCCAATATACCAAAAAACTCTGTTTCTATCTAATATAAAAAGCCTTGAGCAGCAGACATAGAATAGTAGTATATAGTATAAGGTATGGAGATCTGGATAAGAGAGAGTGATCACTTAATTTAGGGGTAAACCACATCCCTTGCTCTAGCTATTTAATTAAGCACTCCTCTCCGCCAGGGCCGGATTAACATAGAGCTGCCATTAATTTTATTTTATTTTATTTTTACACACTGCTCTTAGGTTTACCACATAACTGGTATTTTAATGGCACAGCGGGTAATTGAGGCTGCCTTGCCAGTGCCAGTATTACAGTAATACCGGCAATACAAATGCAGGTATTTTTCTCAGTATAAACGGAAATTACTCTGCAATACCAGCACCGGCCAGTACTGTGTGTGGGGACAGGCAGGGATAGGAAGTTACAGCATATCCCTGCCTCTCTCTACTACTCACTGATCCGTGGGGGAGCAGCTACACAGCACAGAGAGTCCAGACAGCAGCTCTACAGCTCAGGTAAGTGAGGGATGGGGGGGAAAGGCAGCAGGGAAACATGGGGACACTGAGACACTGAGAAACTAGTGGACCCATGGGGACACAGACACTAGGGCATACTGTGAGACCTGGGGACACTGAGACACTAGGGGACACTGGGAGAAATGGGGACACTGAGAGACATAGGGACATTGGGAGACACTGAGACACTAGGGGCCCAGTATCCCCATGTCTCCCAGCGTCCCCTAGTCTCCCAGTGTCCCCTAGTCTCCCAGTGTCTGTGTCCCCATGTCTCAGTGTCCCTAGTGACTCAGTGTCTCTATGTCTCCCAGTGTCCCAGAGTTTACAGAATTTTCTCTTATGTCACTCTTATGATTTACATCATGTGATGTCACGCATAACTAATTAATTATACAAATGTATAAGGCTGGTATTTTTTCCAAGAAAGGTGGCAACCCTAACTACTCTTCACATACTCTTGCTTAAAGGAGCACTATAGGGTCAGGAATACAATCATGTATTTCTGACCTTATTATGTTAAAACCACCATTTAGCCCCCCTGGCCCCCTCTTGCCTCTCTAAATATAGTAAACTCTTACTTGTATTCAAGTCTGCAGCTGCTGGCTCTGTCTGCCTTTGAACTGACTCTGTCTGCTGACATCATCAGAAGTGGTGGTCTGAGCAAATTACAATGCTTCCCCATAGGATTGGCTGAGACTGTCAACTAGGCAGATCAGGGGCAGAGCCAGCACAAGTCAAACATAACCCTGGCCAATCAGCATCTTCTCATGAAGATACATTGATTCAATGCATCTCTATGAGGAAAGTTCAGTGTCTGCATGCAGAGAGTGGAGACACTGAATTGCTTAGCTGCACACTAGGCAGCACTGCCCCAGGAGGCACCTCTAGCAGCCATCTAAGGAGAGGCCATCATAGTTATTTTCTCTGAAAAGACAGTGTTTACTGCAAAAAGCCTGGGACTTACTAGAACAAATACAATAAGCTGTAGTTGTTCTGGTGACTATAAGTTTGGAAGCTTAAGAGGGATGCATGGGAACAAAACCTGTGTGGACTGGCTGACAATAAAATAAGTTTAGATAATGCAGACTTTGGTCTCTCTAACACTGTGGCATGTCCCTTTTCTTCTACACTCAATACATACACCTTTTATCTGTCTCATACTATATATCAGGAACATTTGCCTGCTAGTAAGATGATAAGGAGACAAGTGGACATGTGAGTGCTAGGGGACAGTCCTTAGAAAGCATGGAGTAGGCGCATCATTTGATGCATTTATGTCAAGTTCAGGGTGCTGCCTGCATAGTATGCCCTTAGTTGGACAGCCTACATTCATGCCAGGCTGGCCTTCCAAATTATTGGACAAAAAGGTCCCTTTTTGGGCATGTTCACCCCTTTTGGCAGGTCTGGTCACGTGACTCGCGCCAGTGGCAGACTCTTTTACACTGCACATTGACTTCCTGCTTCACTGGACACTGCTGTTAGGGGGTATGGATTTACTTGAAAGATGAAAGCATAAATTAGAGAGAGATTAGCATAGAGTATGTGTTTTCGTATAGCTGCATCCTTTGAGTTTCCCTCCAACACCATCTAAATCAGATACATGACGCTTTATTTATTTATTTATTTATAAAATATTTTACCAGGAAAGATACATTGAGATTTCTCTCGTTTTCAGGTATGTCCTGGGTCCACAAATCATTGCATTGTTACATTAGGTACAACAAAATACAAAAACAATATTAATACACAATATATACAAAATTTAACAAAGACGCTTGGGAGGTATGGTTGTTTTAGTGTTTTTGGTCGATAAGATTCTGTAATTAGGCCCATCATAACTGTCAGCACCAGGCCCACTGGGCTCTTAATCTGTCCCTGCACTTCGCCTGTTGCTTCTAGGCAGCACCCCTTGTCCAATCTATTTGCTAATATCTTAATGAATGTTAAGTAAAAACGGAAACATTATATACCTAGAACCCCATTCTAAACAATGTGGAAAAAAAGTTAAAATAAAGGCTCCTGCAGTGCCCCCCTCCCTCGCACCCCCCTACCGCAGTGCTGGAATCCAACACTGATGTCATTGGTGCTGGGTCAGGCTACATCCACGCTCCTCCCTTGCTGACGTTGGCTGGCAGGGAGACCTAATGCACATGCATAGCAATTGCTGTGCTCGCATTAGGATTTCCCCATAGGAACGCATTATTCAATGCTTTCCTATGGGGAAAAATATGACGCTTGAGGTCCTCATGCAGGGTGTGAGGGAGTCCTGTGTCAGATAACGGACCGAAGTTATTGCAGTTCTCAGAAACTGCAGTAATTACCATTGCAGGGTTAAGGGACATGGGATATTGCACCCAGACAGCTTGAATGAGCTGAAGTGGTCTGGGTGCCTACAGTGTCCCTTTAAGCTCTATAGATATTTAAATTGCTATACAAAAACATCAAATGTATTATTCACTGCACAAATATTGACAGACCCTAACTTTCATAAACAATGGATTAATTAACTTTATCATGCAATATTTATATCACAAATGTTTTAAATCTTTTAGACTTTTGGCTTTTTGGATAGTAAAATGTATTTGCAACCTTATTCCAAATTAATATCTATGCCCAATATGTTTTACCTATGGTATCTATTGGGTTTATTCCCAGCTATTATAGAAATTTATTACTGATTTACTCATAAATTATATGCTTGCAATTTAGGGGTTGTTAAGACACCCCGGGTGTCTTTAAGAGAAACCGCTGTTTAGTTAACCTTCCCCTTTCGCAATATCAATAACTCCATTCGCATAGACTGCAGTATACGAACCACCATAAGGGGAAGTGGTAATCTCCCGACCGGGATCCGTGAAAGGCTCCAAACTCCCGAACAGAAATCCACGAACCACCCGCTAACCGCCGAACAAAGATATCCACCAAGTGGCTTTCGGTTCCAGTAATCAGTCTCTAGGCATCAGTAATAAATCCCCCCAATAACGAGACAAAGCTCCGCATTGAGGGTCAAACAGGATCTGGCTTTACAGTGGGCTACCCGCCCGTATTTATGCAGGTCTCCCACTTGGTGGACACTCCCCTAGGGGACCAAATGGGAGACTGTAATGACAGATAGACATGGGGACATTTCAGACATACAGATGTAAGCTTTTCCCACAATGCAATATGGTTTCCTCCCCTCTGCCCTGGAGATAATTGAGAAGTAATTCAATCATCTCCAGGACAAAGACAAATCGCCATCTTAAATAAAATGCCAGAAAACACACAAAAATATATAATTCCACAAGTACCAAACATTTCACATTTGTATCACATATCCCCAGATAGCCTGGATCTGAGGGCATATTATTAGCGAATAGCGCTCAGATCCCATGGCCATGGAGTCAAAGTTCTTACAGTCTTTCGGTATACGATTGACTCCATGGGAAGGCTATCTGGGTTGTCTTTTCGTGTGATTCCAAACTCCCGAACGGCCGGTGTTCACATGCTTTCGTCGATGGAGTAGGGCGACCCGTTGTTTCAGCGGTGTTCGGCAGAAAAAGTGTCAGTTTTTAGTTCCATGAAATCACTGCCAAACACCACTGGTCTTTCGTGCGTTTTAAAATGGCCGCTGCCTTGTGGTCGACATGCGAACGACGGCCACCCTGAATTCGGTTTAATTGAGAAGTGTCTGCGGTTAACCACAACGTTCTAATTGGGATCAAGAGGTTAACCAGCAGCACACTTCTATCCTGGGTGGCCATCCGTTCGGTAGGTTTGTTCGGTAAAACAAAGTCATGAACTATAGAACAGCCATTTACACGAACCGGGCAAAATAGAATAATCCACCACTATACACACACAGATGGTTCTGTCACAGGGGTGTACTTACTTTTGTTGCCAACGGTTTAGACATTAAAGGGACACTCCGGTGCCAGGAAAACAAATAGTTTTCCTGGCACTGCAGGTCCCCTCTCCCTCCCACCCACCATCCCATGTTGCTTACCTGAGACCACCGCCGATGTCCCTCAGCGGTGGTTTAGGGTCCGCCCACGCCCCTCCCCCACCGATGTCAGCCGGCAGGGGAGAGCGATTGCGCATGCGCGGCCACCTGCGGGATGAGACCTAATGCGCATGCGCGGCAATGCCGCGCACGCGCATTAGATCTCCCCATAGGAAAGCATTGAAATACATGATTTTAGTGACGCTGGAGGTCCTCACATAGTGTAAGGATGTCCATCGACGCTATAGCACAGAAAACCTGTGCTCTAGACCAGGAAGTGCCCTCTAGTGGCTGTCTAGTAGACAGCCACTAGAGGAGGAGGTAACCCTGCAATGTAATTATTGCAGTTTATAAAAACTGCAATATTTACAATTGCAGGGTTAAGGGAGTTGGCACCCAGACCACTCCAATGGGCAGAAGTGGTCTGGGTGCCTGTAGTGTCCCTTTAATGGCTGTGTGTTGAGTTATTTTTATGGGGACAGCAAATTTACATTGTTATACAGGCTGTACACTTGCTACTTTACATTGTAGCAGAGTATCATTTATGCAGTGTTGACACATGAAAAGATATAATAAAATATTTACAAAAAAGTAAATATAATAAAATTCTATTTACTGATATGGCAAGCATATACAACACACAGCCATTAATGTCTAAACCATTGGCAACAAAAGTGAGTACACCCCTAAGTGGAAATATACAAATTGGGCTCAAAGTGTCAATATTTTGTGTGGCCACCATTTTCCAGCACTGCCTTAACCCTCATGGGCATGGAGTTGACCACAGCTTCACAGGTTGCCACTGGAGTCCTCTTTCACTCCTCCATGATGACATCATAGAGTTGGTGGATGCCAGAGACCTTGCGCTCCCCCACCTCCCATTTGAGGATGCCCCACAGATGCTCAGTAGGGTTTAGGTCTGGAGACATGCTTGGCCAGTCCATCACTTTTACCTTCAGCTTCTTTAGGAAGGCAGTGGTCGTCTTGGAGGTGTGTTTGTGGTAGTTATCATGTTAGAATACTGCCCTGCGGCCCAGTCTCCGGAAGAAGGGGATCATGCTCTGCTTCAGTATGTCACAGTACATGGTGGCATTAATGGTTCCCTCAATGAACTGTAGCTCCCCAGTGCCGGCAGCACTCATGCAGGCCCAGACCATGACACTCCCATCACCATGCTTGATTGTAGGCAAGAGTTTGTACTGCTCACCTGGTTGCCGCCACACATGCTTGACACCATCTGGACCAAATAAGTTTATCTTGGTCTCATTGGACCACGGGACATGG